AGAAGTTATGTGCACTGATCTGTTTGGGAGTGCTGATTACGTTTTGATAATATATTCAATTGTTCGGAAGTAGGGATCCTGTCATTAAGCTTCATAAACTGGCTTATCTTCTCAAAACAAATTATCATGCAGCTTGGTTTGGCACGGAACTATAAGCCCAGCGCCCTAAAAACCTCGGTCAATGAGGTCTTTCAATACTTGATTTTATTAGCTGCCACTTCTAGTTGCAAAAAGAACTGTCAATGTACGTCGATCCGTGAACCGAGCAAGAGCCGAGCGCAGCTACGTCTCATCGCGAATTGGCACGAAATATTCATTATCACCAAAAGGTCGACGTTCAATTGGAATTTTAAAAAAAAGGGATTGGTAAAGCCGGTGTTGCCAAATTTCGATTTCAAACTGTGTCATTTTGGTAACAATTATGATATTAAGTGCAGGAATTCGAATCAACTCTTTTCGGGTTAAAATAAAATTTACCGCAAAGTACTGTATGTCATGAATATACTAAACGGTTACTCACAAGTAGCCAGATTCTGTCAAATTACGCTATACATTATCTATATTTACTTTAATGAACACTGAAATTTTCCATCACAGTAATCTCGTTTTGCTTTCTAACAAACAAGCAAAAACGAATATTTCTGGTATAGGTACTGACATTGTAGGGAGAAATTTTACTCTGGTCATTATGTCTGGGGAACAATGACCAGCTCACCAAATTCTCCTTTAAGCTGAAAAATTGCAGCGTCTTAATCGAATGGAGAACAGTTACACTATGGTTAATGTAGACGGGTGACAGTTAGCTAGCGATTTCACATTTCTCATGCTTAAACATATATATACGCTTTAGTTAAAGCGCATCACGACATCCAACTCTTGCCTAAATTTTCCAAACTGCTTTTAGTTCTGAAAATGTAGCCAACCTTGATAAAGGCAGTTTAGGAATAGATTCCTCTGAGTTGTGAAGAATATTTCAGTCTCTTTTAATTTTCATCGTTTGTCTAAAGAGGAGGAATCTTGCTCAGGAAAAGGAATTGGACAAGACCCGTGTTCGCTTGCGTGCGTGAGGTTGTTCCACATTTCGAGCATATGACGTCACACATGGTGCTTTGAATGCCTGGTCCGAGCTAAAAGGAAATGTTACTAGTTCTGAATTTTACGGTCGGTCTATCTTGAACGTACATATGGACTTTTGCGGGTTTTTAGAGGAAATTTTTTCAAGTGTTGCATTCGTGTTGTCGTAAAGCACTTTTAAAAGAAATGCTAAATATACATTAATCATAGTTACTTGTTACGCCAGCGCCAATTTCTCATGTCTGCATGCAAATTGTTGTTTTTCATCTTAAGGTTAAGTTCCTGTACACGTCGAATGATAACCTTTAGTTCTTTTTTTAACAGAGGTCAAACGTGATCACGGATACCTGGGGTGATTTGAGTAGTTACATTCAGGCACTTTACCTCCATGTTTATGGGCCATCGCAAGCAAAAGTTTATTAAACCAACCAAGCATTACTGGTTTGCTGGCGGATGTTACGTTCACAGTCGCTAAAAGAAAAGAGTTCCTCACCTGTCATAGGTTTAAGCTAACATCTGTAATCAGAAAGATCTGTAAACCTGAAGAAGGCTGGTATGGAAAGCCGAAATATTGTTCCAAAAAAGCAGGTCGAGAAAAACAGATAAAATTGTCAATTCTTGTGCTTAATTATTGTTAGTTAATCACTAATCTTAATTTTTATAAATCGTAATTATCCCACGGCATGTCTGAAAACCAGCTTGCTGAGCCATTTATCGTGTTTAAATAAAGTTGACTGATTGATTGATTGATTGAATACACGTTGTCGGTTCCCGGAGGGTACTCCCTATAATGTCTTATACGGGGAGGCTCCGCAAGAAAGGGGTACCTTTTTCAGACTTCAGGTATATGAGAGGGTAGGGATTTTACTCGTTGACGTATACGAAAGAGTAGGGACATCTGTCATTTGGGTCTGTGAAAGGGCTAACAGATGATTTTTATGGCTTTGTAAAGTCGAGAAAACGTTCTATTTTTGTGATCGATTCCTATTTAAAAGACGTGGCAAAGGAATGCAAAGTTCTAAACAAGGTATGTGACAGGGGTACTATTTGGCAATAAAAGGTATACGAAAGGGGTACCTTCGCAAAAAATGATGTATAAAAGGGTAAGCTATAAGGGGTTGAACCTTGGGGCGAACCCTCCCCATATAAATATTTTTTGATCCGCCCCCGGTGTCGGTTATGGCCAGCTTTGCAGCAGTCTTTGGACTTCTCGTTTTTTTCTAAATAATTTGGCTGATGAAATCTCTTTTCTGGAGAGCAGGATCTTCCTCCACAGTTTTTGCAGTTAATTTCTTTATCATTAAGTGTAAGTGCATTTTCCTAGCTGCGCTAAGGATGAAAAAAAACTACCTTACACCATAGAAACAGCAACACTGACACGAAAGCGCTATCCTATGCTAAGGACTACTATTCAGAGTTTAAACCTCTTTTTACCGGGTTTAATTTATGGACCCAAAATTTGTATTGAAACAGTGCAACTGCATTCGTATTTACTTAGAAGTAAGGGAGCTTTTCTTTTCATTATTCTTATTATTATTCATAGTATTATTTTATTTTTTTCACATTAAAAGGGCTAATTCACTCTTCATGCTGAGTGACTTTCACTCTAAGCCAGCAACTGTTCTTACCTTTTTTCGAGTGAAATATCACTTTCATGTGAACTATACAACGTGTATGAACACAATAGGGTCAACATATGAACCCTTTTTTCATAGAAATCAGCCATTAGACTTCTATTAAAGCTTTTCATACTTGGCTATTTGATGTTTGAAAATGCCGCCGTCAAGTGGTATCAGTTTCAATGCAAAGAATAGACGACAAAATGTCTACGGTTCTGGCCGTAGATTTACGGAGTGACTGACATTTCCAATGACTCGTCAGCGCCATTAACTAGACGCCATTCGGGGATAATCATCGATTAAAGCTCACTCACGAAAACGTCCGTAAGACAACCAGGCCACGCGACTAACCAATCTTTGAAAAAAAAAACATAGATTGTGCGAAAAGTCTTGCTGAAGTTTAATATTCATTTTGTGATGTGAAAATCAACAGTGGTCGCATAATTTTCTGAAACACAGTGAAAACAGGTTATATTTAAATGTCGCGCAAGAACCGTTTTATAACATCACGCCATCTCTCGTAGGCACGTGTGTTAGTGTCATCACGAAATAGATGGGTATATATATCTTTGAAAAGAAAATTAGGCAAAAAGTCTCTTCTATAATTGATTATTAAGAGAACCGAGAGCCATGAACGCCCCGGTGGTATAAGCTTTATGTTGGTTATTTATCTGTAAAGACTAAAATATTTTACGTGCTTGAAGTACCCCCGTTGCAAATAAGAAGAAGGACAAATTCCGTTCGGTGAAGGATGTAGTTTTCGTGCCGCCCTCGGAAGTAATGAGTGAGTTAATTTACAATTCGTGACATCAGAAGTATGACGGCTATTAAACTCATGGGACGTATAAAAATCGTCAGTGCTGACCAGAACAAAGTCATCGCCAGTCAAGGTCGCCGTATGATAATATAAACTAAAGCTACGAACGCCACACACAGCAAAAAAAGTATTTGAAGATCGGAGAGACTAAATAATCACTCTTATAAGGTAAGGACATTTTGGGGCAGTAAACAGCGCTATCCTCTAACAAATATTCTCATAGGAGATTTTTTTAAGGATTCTTCCTTCTAAGTTGATTGAACAGAGATAATCTATTTACAATCTCTCAATACTAATATAACCATATCAAATTCTCACTTTTCAAATTCTACAAACTCAAACAGTTTCAAAAATTTTTCACAAACTGTCTGAACGGCGACTCTCTCGACAGGACAACAGTTCTAAAGCTTCAATGGCACGTGGAAAATAAATTGATGATAACTTTCACATGCTAGTTAAGTTCGTAGGACTTGACCCCTAAATAAAAAACAAACACCTGACTAGCATGTTCAATCACTTGAGCTTAGGTAGACGCCAAAATACATTTTACTAGTATCTCAGTGAACAATTGTATTGCGGAAAGCCAGAAAGAAATTGCTACCGCTGTTCTGTTCTCAAAGTTTTGACGAACGCCGTTTAGCAGATGTTGGCTGACTTTTGCGGCGAATTCTCCGGGAGATTCTCTGTCTCATGAACATGTTTTGACGGTCTTTTTGGATATATGCAGACGATCTCTCTCTTGTCAGTTAGGGTTTAATTCCTGTTTTCTTTCTTGGAACTGTTTAAAGTTAAGTAAAATATGATTTTTAGCGTTTTTGAAAGTAAGGTTTAGTTTACACGCCGGATAGTCAAAAAAGGTCGCGTGATAACCAGCTGAAGCGATGTTGCCGATTAACGCACGTACTATCACAAGCGCCCCAAGGTTTCTTGACAGTTCAAATATCATTTACCGGTACATGAACGCGTTAAAATACAGTCCTCGAGGGGTCACGGAAACACAGCACTCTTTTCGACACGACAAAATACTGATATAAAAGAGAAGTGATTAGAACGAGGTCAACGTTAACATGAAATAATTAGCCCTGTTTTTACTTGTGTGTGAAATTATTTTGACACCACTTTTGCGAGCCTCCCGTGCGACTAACTAATTTGTGTAAACACTATGAAACGCTCTTCCTTCGCGTGATGTCGCGGGTTTCGTGACAATTTGTTTGAGGTAGGGTATACCCAGAGTTCCTTGCGCCGCAGGTCATCCGTGACGCGTGCGCAGAACATGCCTTGAGCCACCGCCACATGTGCGTTCGAAAGTCCAGCAGTTTCACTCGCTACAACAACGTTCCCGGCGAAGGGATGCAAGAGGAAATCGCTCCTTCTCTAAAAGTGATTCTCCTTTTCCCTTTCAGCCAGTTGCTGAATATGCAACGCTTCTGAGGCGTAACTCAACACCATGGAACTAGAATGATTTGGGTTGCAGAAGCATCGCGTCTTTAATGGCTGTGTGCAAGAGCCGGAGTTTCATGGCGTTCCCCTCGACGCATTCCCAACAGCCGTCGAAGGGCTGCCACGGGTCACATTACCCTGTACAACCGCAGCAAGAAACTCAGCCGGATAGACCTATCGGTTATGGAGCGTTTGGCGTAGTGTGGTGAGTTTCGAGGTTTAAATTTCTTTTGTGCTACTTTTTTGAGCTTTCTTTTGACAATATTTTCATGTACAATGCACAGGTCTGTGACAGATCCGCGAAATGGAAAGAGGGTCGCTCTGAAGAAGATGCCCAACGTTTTTCAGAGTCTTACGTCTTCGAAGAGGGCTTACAGGGAGCTTAAGATGTTGTGTTTCTTCAAACATAATAACGTGAGTCATGTTTTTCATTTTTCTTGGCTTAGTAGGCCCCATTATTCTTATGCCGGGTTGGCGAGCGTAATTATTCAAAGCGCACCGGTGGCGTTCTTCGGTGTTGTTAGTTTCGTTCAAGTGAAGTTTTGGCTGTCCCTTGATATGAACTGATTATTATTTTTCTATCGTAGGTACTTTCTGCTTTGGACATTGTTCATCCCGGCCATGTAGACTTCTTTCAAGAAATGTATCCTTTGTGTCAAAGCAGATCGAAAGTAAGGTGTATTTATCTTTGTAGCGTGACAAAAATAAAAATTTACAACAAGCAATTTGAGGCAGAGTTTTTGTTAAGGAGGGGCTATTTATATTCCTCCTGTCGCTTAAATTTGCTGTTTCACGAAGTTTCCATGGAAGGAAGTTGCGTCCTGTAGGACACTTTAAAACAGGAATCAAACCCAAAACCTTGAACTTCGCTCTAAATATTAAAACCTCCTCCACGAATTAATATCAGTCAGTCAAGAAATAAATTAAAGAAAGGTTTTGGCCTCCTAGAGGGTGTTTTACGTGTACAATGAAAAGACGAATACTTGTGGTTTTGGGTATGGCATAAATTTTGAACTTTTCCAAGCTGTGGGGTTTTGAATAGAGCTTTCTGATCGGGCTTGTTTCAACTCCCACCTGTTGCTCAGCAATATGCGCTTTGTGTTTGCCGACGCTTACATTTCAGTGCCAATTATTATCTCTTGGCTATAATTTCGTTCGAGACAAATTCAAATTAACTGATTCTCTTGAACAAGCGACTTGTTTGATTCTTCAAAAATATTTCTTACACTGTAAGTCGATAATAGCGGAAACTAGTTTAGTCGCTTCGTCGGAAGGTTCGGCTTTCTTTTCTGTGTAATGTCAAGTTCCGGTCCGAAATAACAGATCTGTATTTTGAGCGTATTATGGCAAAAGGCAATTGCCATTATGCCATATCCTGCCTTCGCATGTTGGAAACGAAAAGGCTCGATACATCAGGACTTATTTTACATATTGGATTTCACTTGTCATCCCTATTTCTTAATCCTGTGAAAATCAGAGTTATTTTAAGCCCGACACTATGTTCAAACGAATTACAAGAAAATTTATCCATCTTTCTTAGCAGAATACAAATTTAAATCCCTTTAATGTCAGAAGATGTTGCTCTATATATGGATTTTAACGTTTTGAGTATGACGATCAATTCCTAAATACTTTGTTATTAAATTATGGGACAATACTTTCACTTGATATGGTATTATCAATTTTTTTCAAAAATGATTTTTTTTCAGTTTTCATCCTCGTAAGAGTGAAAGATAACTTGTGTTTGTCAGGAGAAATGTTAAAGCTGTATTTGAAACAGGCGTCACTAAAAGGGTATTGCAAAATGTCTTAAGTAAATTCCTTCATCAAAAATACACGGCTAAAGCGATTTTACATCTGTAAAATGAAAGCAATGAGACTGGACTTCCTGGATATTATATTTAACAAAATATTTTACAAAAAATTTAAAACCAGTCTTGTTATCACTTCGAATGGAATAAAAGATAACTTCCAGCTACGAGGGTAGCTGTCAATATTGCCATGGCAACAATTGTGTTTAAAAATCTTTTCTCTTTTTTAGAACAAAGGCTATTTTTCCTTTGTGCTCCTTAAAATTCATTGGCAAAAAAGTATTTGGATCAGCCAAAGAAATCAGAGTTAAAATAAAATTTATTTATTTTGTTCTAATAAAGAGTATGAATTTAATTTTTCACATTAACCGTTTTAACTCTGGCTGTGTAGGGCACTATTTGAAAAAAAACATTAGTTTTATTGTAAGAGCCCACCTTTTTAAAGTTTGCACTTGACTACACATATTAAGAGGTGAGCACATGTAACTGACTGCTTTGTTGCTGGCATGAAAAAATTCGTGTTGCTGAGAGTATAGTTACTTGGTGCTAATGATACTGTGGGTTTATCAACAATAATGCTATTGTCATTGTTAAATCTTTGAGTCCTGTTTTGGGAGAGAAAACAGTTTTTAAAAACTTGAATAAAGCAGTACTTGTTCCTGCTGGGTATGTGGTAATTTGCATTCTCAAAAATTTAAGCTTGGCAAGTTACTCTCAGCTTTTCTTGGGATTGTATAGTTTCTTTTTCTGATTCTTAATCATGGTTGTCTCACTGAGATCCCTGGAAAAATATGATTATTAAAAACAAAGTTTTTCATAATTTAATTTTCTCTCAAAAATTTAGTTTATGTCTTCTTGGGACAGTATGTTGTCAGCCAAAAAAGTTTGTGTTTTTATGAACATGTAACTTTGCAGAGAAAATCTCACAATATTGAAGTCTCTTTCCACGATCAAAATGTGGAACCAGTTGTGTTTAGGGTGATATTGTAAATGGACGCTACTGAGTTAGAGATAGAACCTGAAACTAAACGGGTAGTAATTAAGGAAAGTTGGGGTGGCTGTTTGAGGATCTTGGAGACAGCAAACTTTAAACTTGAACATTCTAATTCTCTGAAATTATACCAAGAATGATTTTATATCTAACCTTATGTGCGTGAATATCACAGGAAATCATTTTCTACCTGAAATCTGGCAGGCTGTGCAAAACCACCTGTTGGCCGTTCATAAGCTGAATGTATACAGTGATGATAAATGTTTGATGTTTAACTCTCAGGATTCAGCCCTTCCAGTTCAGCAAAAAATGTTACTTGGTTTAGAAACTTTTAATTTGACAATGATTACTAATACTTGGAATGTTTACGAAACTTTGGATGCTAAAGGAAGAGAAATAATTTTACATGTGGCATTAGTGTCATATATGGATTATGAGGTGTAAAGTTTGATGCTAATTAGGCTAGTATAAGTTTATAAATTTATGCAGACAAGAAGCCACCAAATTCACAATGAAAATTATCAAACTCATCACATCTTCTTTGTTTAGTTTTCAAGGAAATTTTAATGACTGTTTCAGAATATACTTAGTAGTCTTACGACTGGAATTTTCAATATTATTTTAAAGGTAAATTTATAAACTATTGTTTCTAACTATACATTATTATATCATTAAGATCCTTTCATTCAATTTTCATTATATGCCCAGTCCTCAAATAATGTAATTTATTACTCCTAATCCCATAACAAATTTTATATGTTTGAATTGCACATGGTTTTTTCACCTTAACCTTCTAAACAGATATATAGTTTCAGAATTAATGCAGTCTGACCTGCACAAAATTATTGTGTCCCCTCAACCTCTTAGTTCAGATCATGTTAAGGTTTTTCTGTACCAAATTTTAAGAGGTAAGTCTTCTGTGTGTTTCACCATGTTTCTGTGTATATCACCATGAAGGGTGCAATAGAAACAGTAAGCCTCTGAACCCTAAAGGTGATGAGGAAGTTATTTCTCATTTTGATATCATTGCTTAACTTGACTTAATGGTTATGAGAATATAACATTGAGTGACAATGAGGCTACAGGAGCAATATTGGTGCACCAAAAACAAAATGGTGGCCACATTTTTTATTGGTGTGCCAATTAAACATCCTATGGGGATTGAACTCTTTTCTCCAGTAAATCTTTCTTCCATTGTTTCAAGAGATTTGGATAGCTGCTGATCAAATGAATGAAAAAGACATGTAAGGGTAGATTTCCACTGTCGCATAAGTTTTATGTCCACATTGACATAAATCCTCCATACATAAATAAAATACAGTCCAGTGAGATTAACTTTTATGTTTAAGTATGACACATACAGTGTCTCTATTTTAATCATGCAGGTAAAATTTGCATCCTGTGACATTTAAAAATTATGCAACACAGTGCAGCATGCAAAGAAAGTAGGAGTGTCCGATAGCCCGGGGCTAGTGGATTTTGCTATCGGGCTAGTGAGTTCTGTTATTAACTTGCCCGACAGGCAAGTGAAGGTTTTTGAGGAATTCAAATTACAGAAGTACTGTCAAATCAATCTTCTCATCAAAACATTTTTGGGGCTAGTTGAAATGATTTTTGGGCTAGTAAATGTTAGCTTCAGCTTGCCCAAATGGCAAGCTGTAAAAATGACTTTCTTTGCACCCTGACAGTGGAATTCTACCTAGAAGAAAATGTCATCAACAAAGTCTGGGTGTTTTAAAAAAATTCTGTCCATACCAAAAGAATTGTACGAAGGAGAGTGTAGAGAAATTGTATTTTAGTATCAGTGCCTGAAGGGTTTACACAGAGTCCTACACAGTGCTGTCAACATCTGGGAGACTCCAGATTTTGGACTGTATCTCCCGGTCTCCAGATTAGAGTATGAAATCTTCCCGATAATCGCTGCCAATGCTTCAGTAAGCTTGATTTTTGGCAATAGAATTTCAACTTTTTTGCGTTGTTTGATTTTAATGTTAACACTGAAAAGTCTCCTCATAAACTCAGGTATTCCATTGTAGTATAATAATTTTGTTGGATGGGTGGGAAGTAAACCAATTAGCCGGTCAAATTTTACAATACCAATGACATCTTTTTTGCCCTTATCTGTCATCGCAAATTTGTGATGATCGAAATCAAAGAGTATTTTTTGCCCAAATGATCTCATGTGCTGTGCATTATGATGTCATCTATCATCCCTTCCCTATCAATTCTTCAATATTTGAAGACGTGTGGAGTTGACAGCCCTGGTCCATCAGGTCTTATACGTATAACAGTGAATGTGAACTGACTTGTCACACCATGCCAATGTTATAAATTCCTATTTTTGTTATTATTCAGGACTCAAGTATCTTCACTCTGCTGGTATTTTACATAGAGACATTAAACCTGGCAATTTATTAGTCAACAGTAACTGTCTTTTAAAAGTGAGTACGAGAGAGTATCGTGTTTTTTTTAAAAAAACAGGGTTCTCATTAAGCTTAAAGGAGACAGCTAGAATATTATAGTAGCTGGCTTGGAAGTTCACTGAAAGCAATTTGAGACTCTCGCTCTCATCTAACCCATTTTTTCCCAAATAATTAAGCTGGCTCAAAATTTGAAGTTGCCATTGAATTAGCTGGTTGCTGGCACTTAATGATAACCCTGAAAGGATTTCTAGAAGTTTTATGTGGTCATCATGTGGATATGACCAGTTGAAGGATGTGTTTACTTAATATCAGGGGTTTCAATAAAAATTGAAGTAGCCAGCAGGTTTGGATAGAGTAACTGACTGTATCAACTTTGAAGGGGGAAGGGGGTTCTGGCGGCATACTTCCCAAGAAGAATTTGAAATTTCAAAGCCCTAAAATATACCTCCAGCTTTCTGGGGACTAAATTGAGGACAAAAGAGCAGCTTTCTTTTTTTCATTCAACAAAATGTAGCTTTCATTCGACTTGCGATTTGTCAGCCACACAATATAATCAATTCCTACAACCAATGAACAAATGATGAAAACTAAATTAGCTACTCTGCTTGTAAAAAAAATTCTGGGTAAACCTTTAAGAAACTTGTGAAAAATTGACTGAAATATATCGTCTACATGACGAAAGCATAACCTAAAACCAGTGGGCCCTTATGAAACGCATCATAATTACATTTTCATTCAGATTTAATTTTATGATATGTGTTTTGTTTACGACGTTATTTAAACTAGTTGCTTCTTCTTTCTAAAAATAAAGCAGCCGACTTCTGTGAGCAAAGTAGCAAATGCATTCCGTTGGCCATCGGTGCTTTCTCAGTAATTTTGTTACCTTTGTGTTCTGCGTCCCACAGGACGTAAAGATTGATATGGCGATCTGAAGATGTTTTTGTAGAATATCCTGTTTGTGCGATTTTTGTGGCTGTTCTTGTTCTCGCATATTTCTTTTAGTCTTTGTTCGGTCTGTTGATAATATAAGGAATATATTTTAATTTCAGTAAACTGTAATTCAGAGTTTTGGAGTCTGTCTTTAGATTAACTGTGTGGTTACATTAAGACCCAGGGACTTGTGTTTTTGAACTGGGATTCATAATTTTTCACAAGATGAGTCCCAGGACTCACCATAACTATTTGTAATAAAATCACTGCTTACTGAAACCCCTGCAATGTGATTGTGTGAGTGAGTGACCAGCTCCTAATCCGGAAAATGCTATACTAACATCACAGAGCCTTGCCAGAGGGGGTCTCTTTTATTAAAAACATGTACATCCAGGATTATAACAGCAACTGATTTTGTCAAGGCATCCATGAAACCATTTATACAGGTCCTAGTCTTAGTCTCATCCACACTAGAAGTAGTTATTCTCTCTGTAAAACTTAGGACAACCTTATTAAGTAACATTTTGGACATGATCTGTGACCTCAAGCTCCATTCCTGATTGGAAGCTCACTACAACAAGATTTGAAAAATAGTTATGATTTCCTGCACAATATTTTTAATACCTTGTTTCTTAATCTAATATATTATTCGAACAATAATCACAATAACTTAGTTTACTGTAATAATACATAATTTTTATCATCTAACAAAGGGAATTTTTGTTTTCTTTTTCTCAGATTTGTGATTTTGGTCTTGCACGTTTAGAAGAACCTCACGAGAGTGCAGTAATGACACAGGAGGTAAATGGAACACATTTGCAGTTAAAATTTTGATGCAAAATTGAGTTCAGAACATATTCCAAGTCCCCAGCTGTTAATGACAACCCTGATTTTTGTGAATTTTTTGGGTTGAAATTTTTTATTTTTCAGTTTTCTTCTGTGCATGTTCTAACAGTCTCATTGCATCGATGGTCTGCTTTTTACAGGTTGTTACTCAGTATTACAGAGCTCCAGAACTTCTCGCTGGAGCAACACATTATGGCCAAGAAGGTATGTTCAACAGAACGGATGAGGTTGTGCCAACTTTAGACAGTGCGTATTTAGCTTATAAAGGAGTCCTCTATCGTTTTACTGATATTAGAGCTTTGTCCTGTATGCTCCTTTACAGCACCCAAAGCCAAAAATCAAGAAGTGCCTAAATAATGTTGTCATGTTTTTTTCAATTTTTTTTTTCCTGTTGTTTAAGTACATGTCTTTGCTATGCCACAAGTAAGAAAATCTTTGTCCTTGCACAGCATCTTCATCGGGCACCATGGATTTCATAGGTTGAGAGACATGTGCTATACATGTAGTTATGCATTCTTAGATAACATTCCTGTAGCCATGTTTTTGTCCCTCCTTCAAGGATTTCCCAATCTTTTGAAGAGAAAACAAAGAATTTATTAAGATGTAATGATGGTTGTAGTACCTAACCCTAATGAACTTAAATTAATTATCAGCACCCTGCTTTAAACTGCCCCCTAATTTAATTTCCTTTTTTAGTGGATGTATGGTCAGTGGGATGTATCTTTGCCGAGCTCATGAGTAGAAAGATCCTTTTCCAAGCTGAGAGTCCAGTTCAGCAGGTAAGTAATAGTTATTAATATATGAAGTGCTCAACTTTAACCTTCAGAAACTGTACAATGTAGTGCCCCTCCTAATATTTACTTACTGTTTATTCTTTCCTTTGTTGTAACAGTCTTTCATTTGATTAGCAACTTTGTAAGATGTAAATCCCTCCCAAAATGCTACCTGTCTTTCGTGAAAATATTTTTATGACAATTTTCATATGGCAATCAATGAATCTTTTCTTATTGCATATCTCCTGATTTATTTGCAGCTTAACCTCATTATTGATCTGTTGGGAACACCTAGTCTTGATGATCTTTGCCGTGCCGGTGCCAGTGAGGGAGCTACCAAGTATATTCTTCAGAAGGGACATAAAGCAGTAAGTTTACTAAACCCGAATGTATCTGATTGTGTCTTCCCTTTTATTTCCAACCAAAAGTTGCGGAAAATAACTGCACCATTTATTTTCTAACCACAGAAGAATGGTTTTGGCTATGAGCTTCATTGGCACTCACAGGATTACTCCTTGCCGCATAACAAGTTACTCATGCCCTCCCATAAGTACCCTGATCGAAACTCAGTTCTAGAGCATCTAGATTTGAAATCAAAAGGTCTATAGGTTTAACATCTGTTGGAAGTACTCAGGCTTTTCCTTCTGGGCAGCCTGTATGATCTTTTCTCATATATTCACCAGAATTAAAATGCACCACCACTGTTTCTATCATTGCACATACAGTGTGTAAGCACATATCAACATTCCTCTCCTAGCAGCATGCAGTATGGCTGTCACATGAACCTAGTTTAGTGGCCCTAGCTCTCACAAGTCTCCTCTCGCTTAGTGATAGAGCATCGATAACAAACCAAAAGGTCATAGTTTCAACACCTGTATGGAGAAGTGAAATTGGACACCTGTGACATTAATCAAAGACAATTCAGTTTTAGTAATAAATTCCCAACGCCAGAAACTATAAGGGGGAATAGGTACAAGCTTTCGGTGCAACAATTTCTTTTATTATCAGTTGGTTGGACAAGCATTAGTTATAATAAAGGCTACAAGTCCTTAGCTTCTACCGTGGGGCGGTTTGCAAGATTTCGATCAACTCTCGGGGCTTAGAAGGAGTGTGAATGATCAGTAACATTTAGTTTATTGGCTAAGTTGTGTTGTAATCAGAATGATATGCTTGACTACAGGTTGAGGGCGGTTCTATAATTAAAAGGTCATTGTATGCAAATTCCCTTCAAGTTGGTAACAAATCTTTACAAAGCTTCAAGAGTGAAATTTCTCAGGATAGAAATTCCTTACGATTGTGTTGTTATTGAAGGATATTGAACTAGGACTAAAAAGTCCTATAGAAAGCTTTCCTTCTATTAAGCTGCAATCGGTAGCTGCTTAAGAATATGCTTTTTTGAGTCAAAAGACCGCATAGTTCCAAGTACGGAACCAAGCTTTAACCAGTCATAAGAAATGCTTGTCCACCCAAACAATCCCAGAAATCATTGTGGTGAGAGCTTGTACCCACTCCCCTCAGAGTTTGTGGAGTGGGGAATTGTAATATGTGTCTGTTTTTTTTTTTTGTCCTATATATATCTTAATTTGCTTGTTTTGTCTTGCAGCCTGCTCTTGCCACTCTGTACAACCTTTCCAATCAAGCCACCCATGAAGCTGTCCATCTGCTCTGTAGGATGCTTGTTTTTGATCCTGTAAGTCTCAGAACATTCAAAAAATATTTTTTGCATGCAGAGGTACACAAATGTACATCTCACACGCCTGACAGTACTGCATGTTGCATGTAAAACTGTAGGTGTTACTTAAAAATCTCTCTTGGCTTAATTGTTGGGTCGTGACATTTTTGTGTGTGTTTAAATGTTTCTTTTAATACTATTTATAATTAGTCAGAAGAAGTTAAAAATATTCTGTTTTATCTTCATTGTAGAAAAAGAGAATATCTTGTACAGATGCTTTGTCACACCCTTACCTTGATGAAGGAAGATTAAGATTTCACACTTGCATGTGCAAGTGTTGTCATACCACACCTGCTGGCAGACAATACGTCTCTGGTAAGTTTGACTGATAGTAACAATTTGATGGTTACAGTGTAGTATAGAGTCAAGAAAAGTGACATCACAAAAATTCAAATTTGTTGAATAATGAGATTTGTTAGCATATTCAGAACTTAAGAGCAAGATGGAAAAACCCCCTTGCCAAAAATCATTCTGTTAGTGTAAATTGGTGGGGAGATTGGATTGTAACGTTTACGGTCCAGGCCTGTTTTAGAAGGATTTATATGGAGTCACCAGAGCATGACGGTACTTATATCTCCCCACCAATTTGCACTAAGAGGCAAATTTTTAGCAAGTGGATGTTTTCTTCTTGTTCAATCTGGATATGTTAACCAACCCCATAATTTCTTAAATGTAGTTTTTGTGATTTCATCACTTGTTTTCTTTTTCATGCTTGCAGTTTGCATAAGTACCTATTCACTTGCTCGTGGGCTCTTTTTTACTGAAATAAAATTCTTTTAAAACAAGTTGCTAAATAATACATCCTTTCATACAGATTTTGAGCCGATTTGTCCATCAAAATTTGATGACAGCTATGAAACAAATCTTTATATGGTATCTCACGTAAAAGGTTTGTAAAAATATTTTTTGTGACTTTTGTCTTTTTTGCTTCTAAATTTGTTAAAAGAAGATTGTTAAATTGGCCTTTGTTTCTCTTTCTTATTACAGAATCACTTTACAAGTTTATAACAAGTCGTCATCATAATTCAGTTCCTTTATGCATCAATGTAGCTTCTCCTTCTTTTAAAAGCTTTCAAAGGTGAGCTTAGAAAACAATTTAATGTTCTCAAACAAGATCCAACAAAATTAATTGGGTCTATCAACTCATTTGATAGAGTCAAATTACCACCATAAACAGATTGAAAAGCTGTTGCCTTGAGTTTTAGCCGTTAGTCGTTTACCTAATGATGGTGGCCATTTGACCCAATCAACTGAGTTGGCAGGGTTAGCTCAGTTGGCAGAGCGTTTGACTTCGAAATGGGGGTTCGCGGGTTCAATTCCTGGGGCGGGACCAGTACTCAGAGTCTTAAAATAACTGAGAAATGAAGGTACTTCCTTTGCCCTACAAACAGGTAGACCTTCGTGTGGCTCTGATGACCACGTATAATGGGGGTCCCTTCTCCAGTAGGAGACGTAAAAATAGTGTTGCCAATTAGTACTTTCATGCTAAATGTATTGACACTCAAATAAAGTGCATTTTTTATCGTATTTCATTTATTTATTTTTTTTTGGTAGAACTAACTTTAAGAAATACATGTACTTAGACCCCCAGAGTTTCGTATCCACATTCAGAGTATCCTGTGTTTAAAGTATTGTTATTTGTATAAAGTATAGTTTTTTGTTTACAAATGCAAATTAAGTCGTATTTCTTTATTTAGCTGACATGTTCATAAATACACTTAAAGCTAACTTTAATAGTTTTTTTCCAGTGTGGTTTCAAATACAGAAAGAATTTATAACTCCTTCCACAACAGCTGAACAAATGCCTACATTAGTTTTATGTGTTTGCAAGAAAATGTGATAGCCATTCGGTCATTTGAGCGCCAAAATTGTAATCGTTGGCAGCAGTAAATTAGTTAAAAACCATCATTTTTGTGCTCAATTATCTCACTGTTTCAGTATATACTAACATACTGCTGCTCAGTAAATATCCACCACTAGCCACCTCCACTTCAGTGAATATTATTGTTATTTATTCATTTGAAAATGCATGTTATTTAGATGGCCTTAAGTCAATTTGGGGGATGTGTGTGTATCTATAATAATGATAATAACAATTTTTGATAAAGTTCTGTTGTTTTGTTTTTAGTTCTGGTGTTGCTCCTCAGCCAGATCAGCACAGCTCCCCACAGTTGTGGTAACATTTATCATCAGTGTTTAGTAGTCTTGTTCAATGCATCAGTCAATTCATACTTAGCCCACCCCTTCCTAGTATATCCCAGGCATTTTCTTGCTCCCTTAATCCTCAAATCATAAGTTAATGTAAGATAAAGTAATTTTAAGATGAATAAAATATATTTGAAGAATGGGTACTTTAGGTTCACCAAAAAATGCTTTTTTTTTTCAAGAACATTGTTGCACGCAACAAAGGAAATAGGAGACGTCTGCACGCAGGCAAACGTTTGCCAAATTTTTATAGGATACTTGCATAAAAAATTATATTTATTGATTTGTTTTTTCATGCCGGGGATGACCTTTTTGGGAAGAGGGGATTGCCAAAGCTAGAAATGAGTGATGCAGTAGTAGACTTCAGCATTTTGAGCTGGTGATTTAGGAGTAGCTATCTTGATTTAAAGTAGATGTCTACTTGTTTCAAAATAGACCTTTAAGTTAGGAACCAATTTAACAAATTTTTGTTTTGTCTTCAAAAATTGATCAGGTTGTAGTTTTTTATCATTATCAAAAATGTGCTACAATGTTATGTTTTTCCGTCAGTGGTGTAAACATCAACAACACTTTGTGTGATGTGAATTGGAATTTCTTAAAACAAAGTTGTCTAGCATCATGCTATTCAATCTATTTTACTTGTCATTAACACCATGTTGTGGTGTGCTCTTGTAGCTTGTAGCTTGAAATGGTAACAGATTCATTTATTTGTCCCCTTTACTTTGTAAACAAGAAAAAAAGTTGTTGAGTTTTATCAAACTGTTTTCCTTTGCAATATTAATCGAGTAGTTATTTTCTCTGACTTAAATGCTTTTTAACTAAGTAGTGGTCAGTATTGCTGTACCTCTTTCATGCAAAGTGTTGTTTGTGTTGCTAAACTGAAAACTAAATATTTTGCTTTATTGCTGTAAAGAATTTGCTGTACAATATTATTGATGTAAATAGTTGTCAGAATTTTTTTTTGCTTCAGAACCAAAGAATGTTCTTTGACCACTCTTTTTTCCTTTTCTGGGTTGGGGATTTTCATTTTCTTTTGAAAATGTGAGGCCATTGTAATTTGTATTTAGTTTATTTCTGACCAGGAATATTAAATTTGCATATAGGCTGTGCAAATTAAAAATAACAAATTGAAGTCGCTTTTTAAGGCATGACAAGTGTCTTGAAAGAGTGAGATGTAGTAGAAAATCTTGGGTCTCAGAGACTATTAAGCCAATCTCTTGGTGATTATGGTCATGAAGTCTCGTTTTTGCTACAAGTTTTTGGCGAGCATAGTTTTTTTACTTGCCTGTTGACTGATGTCATAGCAAATTAAGTTTTTAACTTGTTTTCTGATGCCAAAACACTGCTGTTTCCTGTCTTTTAAAGTCCTCGCAGCCTCGACGACAATACAATGGGCAATTGCTTAAGGACGTTTGATTTTTTTACTTGTGTTATGCGAATATTCAGTACCTCAGCTTTTAAGTATAGTAATGGCTTCCATGCCAACTATTTAAATGCAGTTACTCTTGTGTGTTTGTTCTTTGGAAGGCTTTTAAAAGAATCTAAATCTTTGTGGCATCATTCTGTTCATTTTTTTCTCCTTGCTTCATGCCATTCCCAATGTTATTGTCGTCGTTATTGCCTGGTAACTTTTGCACTTGAAATTCATGTGACGAAATCACTGTTGCAAAAACCTTACTTGTAACTTTAGTTTGTGGCTTTTACAGTTTAGGATCTTCTTCTTAGTGTCTTCAATGGTTTTAAGGGCCTTATGGGTCAAAGAGTACAGAGAGGCCAAAGTAAGTTAGTATGTCATCATGTCATCTTAAGTATCGCTCATAAAACCCCAATATTTAAGAACTCTAGATGATTACCACATTGCTTTTTTGGTAACTATTGAAATAATGGGTTTTTATGCAAACTATTTCAGAGCTTTTACTATTTTAATACCTTTGTCCGAAGACATCTTTTGTCCATAAAATACCATGTAGTGGACTCATAATTTCTTGCTGCTTTTTGACAGTTTCTTGGTGTTACAGATGACCTCAGTGGTGTGATTCCCAAAATAATGTCACACATAAGCCCGAACGGTACTTGCACTATAACATCGTCAATCATGAACCAACATTAGTTTCAGTAACACCATGAAACATTCATACTTTTGTACTGACATCACTTGTGGAAATGTCTCAAATTAAGGAGAATTCTCATAGCGCTATGCTGGTAATAATAAAGGAAAAGTAAAAAATCGTTGATTACTTTTTCTTAAGTCCATACAATTTTCTTACTGCCTCTTAAGGTTCTATAAATTATTTGTTTTTCTTTTCAAGATGGATGTCATTTTAGGGAATTAAAATAATTAGGGCTTATGAAAAAATTCTATAACATTTTGACGTCCATAGCTTTTTCCTTTCTTTTTCTATTCTGTGCTTTAATTTTAGTGGCATGCCCTCAAGTATTGAAAATACCAAATGTGTCAGGCGTCTCTAGATTCTAGATTCAAACAATTTAACCTTTTAAACTCGCTTATCTATTCTCTCTCTTTTCAAGAGTTGTCGCATGGTTACTTATGCCTGTAATGAGAATAAAATGCCTTATTATGTAACAATGCAACTTTGATTCTCCACTGGCATGTTTACTACTGGTCCTAGCAAAATAACTCTCTCTTGTGCCGACACGTAAGGAAAGCTACCCGGTATTTTGTCGTCATGCCTAAGTCGAAGTTTAAAGACTTGTGTTTTTGTTTGTTTGGCGCATCAAGGCTGCATTGTTTACCCGACTTCTCTCAACAGATCTTAAGATATTTGGTTCTACATGTAGTTAAATAACAGAAAAGGCCAATATTATTTTTTCGGAGTTTTAAAGGTATTTGACATAAAAGCATGCAAACTAGAAAACGATTGAAGGAAGAAATTTGAGCAATTTTTTTTATCGTTTATTTATTTTCTAAAGCAAATTTAATATTTATATATAATGCAATTTGTGCTTTGGGAAAAAGCTTTTTCATGCTGAATTTCAAGGCTTGCATGGTGCAACAACACAATTGAGTCGTTACTGTTCAGTCAAATGAATTGTAAAAAAGCTGTGCTGAAATCAACAAGAATAAAATAATCAATTTTATTTAACTGTCCTAAGATATCATTATCTGACATAAACAGTTAATTTAGTGCATAAATCTCTGTATGGTTGAGTCTTGCAAGAATAACCCATTACCCATCACTGGATCAATAACATGCAGTTCAACATTTGTTGATCGACAAATGTACTGAGCGCTCGCGATACCCGTCGTTGGTCTCGCAAGAAACCGTAAATCCTTTTTTGACCAAGTTTGTTCCATGAAGATGGCTGTATATTGGCCTCGTTTATTTGTACATTCTTATGAACCGAAACTTAGCCACCTTGACCTATTCCAACAAATGTTGAACATTACATTGCATGCACGCAACAATCCCGAAGGGTAATATGGGATATGATCAGTACACTGTTCCTGACACTGTAGCTGTCAAAAATACTTTCCTTACTTCTCCTTTGGTACTCCAAACAAACGTACTATACATGGCCTCTTCGTTGAAGAACAGTGAACTCAGAACTACACCCAATACCTTTCAATATTGTTGCGTGCTCTTTTTCCGACCGGTACTATGACTCGAACTCAGAAGGGAAACGAACAACAGTTCGAGTTAGCGGGGTAAATTTCACATAAATTCGAGGAATTCGAGATAATTCCGAGTTCGAGTTATGGAGGTTCTGTATTTGTATACAATCGACTCTTTCTCGAATGGACTCCGCTGGGACTTGTGGAGCGAAGGGTACATCTTGACGGTGTTCGCGTAGAGTCAAGAAACAGGACCCACGAAAGACAGGATCACTTCCAGGTGTCCGTTTTAGAGGTATCTGCTAAGGCGTTTGACTACTTGACTTTCAAGCTGGGAGTTATGGTTTGGGGTAGATTTTTTTCAAAAGTCTTCTGCTAGGATCAATGTTTTTAGTAATACTTTGGTGTAATTATAAGTTTGTTCGCTGGAAAATCCCCCGACCCCCTCCCCTCCCCCTCCGTCCCGTCAAAAGTCAAATAGTCAGTCCTTGAGAATGTTGAAAGTCGACTGGGATCACGTGTACTTTAGGCATCTGGTAAATGAAGCAATCCGATCTTCTAATCCTTTGCCCTCCTCTGCTTTTTCTTCTGGCTAATCCAGCACGATACAGAAAAAGGACAAGGGTCCAAACAGAAAGGAAGAAGAAGAGAAAAACATTGTTTTAAACATTCGCATATACCAAATTTACTTTGAAAAAACATGAAAGTACGCTTGAAAAGGATTCATTTGAATGGTTAGACCACAGGACAACCATAGACTCTGGCTCAAACGTCGCTACAACGATTGACCCTGGAGATAAAAATATAAGGTTTAAAGTTACCGATCACTCGTTCTTGATCATTAATCACGTGAATTTAACCGTTCGTTTTCCAATTAAATCAAACAACGACAAAATCAGCAAATAAACGGGAACTACAAATTTCGCCCTCACTGCCTAACAAAAAGTACAAACAAAGAATACATTTGTACACAAAGTCTCCAGTGGTGAAACGTGACAGTTAACTCAGAAACTCAAACAGATTAAAACTGATCCTCATATGCCGACTCTTTGATAAGGACATCAACGCCAGTAAGTTTTGCGGATCAAATTGGCATTGTTTGCCAGTGTAAAACTATATCTATTTCCGCCACACCTTATCCCAATGCCCCAGACAGTTTCGATTGAACTCAAAAGTACATCATGGAATCCCTTAGAGAGCTTCTGGTGCCTAAAACAGTCAACAAGTTTAGTTTTACAGCAAATGTTTTTTGGCTTGTGCTTGGAGTTGTTTTATCAAGCGTCTTTTTGGAAATGGAAAACAACGAACCGCGGTTCCACTGTGATGCAAAAGACGACCAAGAACTCATCCAAGGGAAGTGTTACGAACAATATGAAAAGCGATTCAACAAACTTAGTATTCCTGTATACGCTTTTGTGCTTTTTAATTTCTTTACCCCTATGATTGCTTGTGGAATATACTCCCAATACGTCAAATCAAGAATTAGCGAACTCGAAGAACAACAGCAGCCTCTTCAACCCCGACAAGGAAGTCCGCCAAGGAAACTCTTCAAAGCGTATTGTTTTCAGCTTGTTGTTAGATTCCTACTTGGAATTCTTTGTATCTCCTTGCAAAAAACGGTATTTTATCCCCAAACCTTTCCTTCTAACTTCACTTGTGATTTAATGGAGAAAGACCAGCCATCTGAGAATATCACACAAACTCAAACTTACGAGTGCCACAATCAAAGAGCAACGTACAAAAACTTCTGGACTTACGCCGTGATCGTTGTGAATGGAATTTTTGCGTTTCTTGTTTTAATGGAGATTTTCTATATCTTAACACGTGTAATGAAAAAAAGGAGGTTAGTGGAGGACTTCCCATTTTACGCTTTTCACCTTAGATCACACGCCAGTGTTCAACCGGAGCAGCTTCAGCAACAATCACCGTTCCAGGTCATGAAAGACAATATCATAAAAGAAACTGAGCGACTCAGGGATCTTCAATCACCCTTTCGTCCTAATCCAGGTGAAGGTAATACGCTACCCAAAGACTTAGAAATCGACAAAATTTACACCAATCTGATTATTCACGAAGGCAGAGTTGAATACGTCTTCCCTGAAGACAGGCAGGAACAATTAAACGTATATCCCAAACCCAATGAGAATTCACCATTAATTCAACCGCGGGATATTATTGATGCTCACCACAAAAATGTTCTCGTTGTCGGTCGTCCAGGGATAGGAAAAAGTTTATTTTGCATTAAGCTTCTTCGGGACTGGGCATCAGATACAGAAACAGAAAATTCCCAGTTGAACTTTGAAGCCGTTTTTCTTCTTAAATTTAGGAGAATGAACTCGATAGAGAAACCGCTCACCCTTCGTGAACTACTGGCTTTTTCAGAGTATTCACTTGGTGTGAATGAGGATGCTGTCTGGAAATTTGTTCTCGAAAACCCAACTAAAGCACTTTTGATTTTCGATGGACTCGACGAATTTAAATTTAAGATGAATATCGCTGAGTGCAGTGACTCTGATCAACCTAACGATGTTACCGCGAAGATGTCATTTCCTGCATTGTACAACAAAATAGCCTTGGGTAAACTTTTATGGGGCGCCACAGTTTTAACTACTACAAGACCAACTGCTGTGTCATTTGTTAACCATATTGACTTTGACAGAACAGTTGAAATTCTTGGATTTACATCAGAACAAGTTGAAGACTGTGTTAACAAATTCACAGCAGATGAAGAAGATCAGGGTACCGGAAGAACAATTTGGCAACACATCTGCAGCAATCTTAACATTTTTTCCATGTGCTATGTTCCTGTTAACTGTTTTATAATATGCACATGCTTGCTTCACGTCCTACAGACACTCAAGTCTAACGTATCCACGATTCTTCCCACGAAACTCACTGAGATTTACAGCATCGCCATTAAGATGTTCTATTTCAAGCACTCCCGCAATGATTATAAGCAATATCAGGGTCAAGCTGACTTCATCCGTGAGAAATTTGAGAACCTGCCCGGTGATGTGAAAGACCATTTCAAGCTACTGGGAGAAATCGCCTTCACAGGAATAAAAGAGGGTAGACTAATCTTTGAATCCAAGGAAGTTGAAGGATTGGAGGATTGCGGCCTGCTCCATCGTCTACCTGACTTATGCGCTTCAGCAGATAATCCATTTGAAAAACCTAAAGCTCAGTTCTGTTTCATTCACCTGACCATTCAGGAATTTCTCGCTGCCAAGCATGTAGTGGATACCATGAGTGGAGAAGAGCTTCGAAAATTTGTTCACTGTAGGATCAAACAAGGTACATGGCATCTAGTTCTACAGTTTGTTGCTGGACTACTTGGTTTTAAGGGAGAAGAATCACTTACACGCACGTTTGTTGACGCTCTTCCCTTATCAACAGAAAGGTTTAATGAAAGAGAACGGAAAGCAGAGTTTGACGATGATAAAGTTTTTGATTCGAACGTTTGCAGTGCACTCATCTCTTGGCCACTGAGTAGCGATCGCAATCTTGTTGTGGCCTTAAGTATGTGCCTTTATGAGATTGATGTGGACGATCCAATTTTACAAACCAAGCTGCGCCGCCAAATCGGTTTTAATGCAGCAGATTTTAGTAACTGCCAAATCGGACCTGTTGAATGCTTAGGATTAGTAAATTTGCTTAATAGTCACAGCGTAATAAGCCTAGATTTGACCAATAACAATCTTGGGCCATTGGGTTGTAAACAGATTCAGCCGCTGCTTGGAATAAGTGACAAAAAATGTAACGATGCCAAACTTCGCGGATTGAACCGTCATGGTAATAGAATTGAAGATGAAGGTGTGAGGCATTTGACTGAAGCAATCACTCATAGTAACTGCAAACTAAACAGTTTAAACCTTTCTCGTAATAGCATAAACGACGAAGGTGTAAAGCATTTGGCTGAAGCATTAACTCACAGTAACTGCAAACTAAGCAGTTTAAACCTTTCTTCCAATGATGACATAAGCAACGAAGGTGTAAAGCATTTGGCTAAAGCACTAACTCAGAGTAACGGCAAACTAAACAGTTTAAACCTTTCTTTCAATATCATAAGCGAGGAAGGTGTAAAGCATTTGGCTGAAGCACTAACTCACAGTAACTGCAAACTAAACAGTTTACACCTTTCTTGTAGTGGCATAAACGAAGAAGGTGTAAAGCATTTGGCTGAAGCACTAACTCACAGTAACTGCAAACTAAACAGTTTAAACCTTTCTTCCAATAGCATAAGCGACGAAGGTGTAAAGCATTTGGCTAAAGCACTAACTCACAGTAACTGCAAACTAAACAGTTTAGACCTTTTTTTCAATTTTCGCATAAGCAACGAGGGTGCAAAACATTTGGCTGAAGCACTAACTCAAAGTAACTGCAAACTGAACAGTTTAAACCTCTCTCCCAATACGATAGGCGACGAAGGTGTAAAGCATTTGGCTGAAGCACTAACTTACAGTAACTGCAAACTAAACACTTCAAACCTTCCTAGTAATAAGTGAATATTAAGGGACACCAAAGGGGTAAAGCATTTGGATGAAGCACTAACTCAGAGCGGGGGCGAGCTTTTTTGGGATCGTTTTTAGCATCGGCGACGGCGACAGTGGCAAAAACGTCACTTTGAAAAGGCATTCGCGTTTCTTCAAAGATTTTCTCGTAAATTTCTTATAAGAGCCCGAGAAAACAAATGTCAAATTTCACAAAATGACATCTTACACATGAAATTTGCTGAAGTTTACCTGTGTTTTCACAATTCTTGTGATATTTGACATTTATTTTCTCGGGCTCCCATGAGAAAGAAATAGTCTTTGGTATTATTACAGATAACCAGATAACTAATTATAACTATAACCCTTGAAAAATATAAAAAAGAATGCGATGCGACTTTGTTGAAATTATTCTGGTTCAAGGTTTTTGTCTCCTGAAAATTAAAATTACTTAATTTCCTGATGGATTCCGTCTTAAACCTCTTTAATTGACTTAACGTGGGCCCAATATTTTAGGTGTAAAGCTTCTAGCTGATGAGGCACTCATTCACGATAACTACAAACTAAACAGACCTAACTCTATTTTATTATAGAATAGTGGGATCAAGGGGTAAGATATTTGGCTGAATGAGCAGCTGCTCACAGTAACTGCAAACTATAGCTACACCCTGATTTTAGACTAGTTTCCGGTATGGACATACACTAACAAGCGAAGAATACGGTCTGTGATGGTAGAGTGACTGAAATAAACCTCACTAAACCACTGAGCACTTGGCTAAAGCACTTACTCAGTAACTGAAAGAAAATTACATAAGCGAGAAAAGGAAAACGCTCGACTTTCTGAGTTTTGACTTGGATATGCAGTGAGGCCTACACTGAATCATTACCTCTTTTATTAATTTTGTAATTTTAACTTGCGACATTTATTTCAATTTGTAGCTTCTATTACTGTGATTATAGTGCTAACTAAACAGTTTGCCTCGGTTTATAATCTAAAGACTTCGCTTAAGCAGTCACAGCCAGCTCAAACACTGAAGTATTGAAGTTGTACAGCAAGTAGCTTCACTGAGTTCGCACTGACTGCAGATAACTAAGTTTCTCACCAATTTGAGAGAAACGGTTTCATGGACTTTTCTTAGGCTTGTGATTAATTTGTTAACTGGTTTAAAGTTAAGACATACAGTGATCGGAGTTGCTTGTCGATTGCTAGGTTATACTAGAAAGAAAATGCTATGTTTATATAGTTCAACTACAGAACTGTTATTTCTAGGGACAGAATGTAAAAGTTGTAGTTGTGACTGTTCAAATAAAATCTTTACAGAAGTATTAGATTTTTGCTTTTAATAATGGCGCTCTTGGAAGCGAAAAGGCCACTATCTATCGCTACTTTGCAAAGTTTGAGCCATAACGTTGAGATTTCGTTGTTACTGCTAGCAGGGAAATTAAAGTTGTAATATGACAACTGATCTGTTCCATTAGTATTAAGTCCCCCCGGGGCTTATTTATTTCAATCACTTTTGAGGGGGGGTGGGGACGTGGGTGGGGGGAGTAAATAAATTTATTAATATGGGGTACCATACTGCAACCTCCCTAAAAAACTAGGGCGCAAAGTGGAAATGCTCAAGCACATGACGTAAGAGATCTTGCAACCAAGAATCACAACAAATCGGAACCTTCAGCATATCCATATGAATCAGCCATCTTTTATTTATTTGGTAGTGAAGAATAAGGAGGTAGGGGAGGGGGGCTTTAAAGAGAGGGACGGCTTTAAAAAAACCTTCCTCCCCTAGAAAAATGGGGCGGGGGGGGGCTTATTTGTGAGGTGGGCTTAAATTGGACTTACGGTATTCGAATTTCATGGTTTACAGAGAAGTATAACACTGGGAAACTTGAGAAAGACCTTCATTTTCAATCAAATCTTTGTTAGGGTAGACGCCTTACATGCCAAAATGCAGACTCAAAAAGCAAATTATTAATTTAGGCCGCCTCGTCTGTGCAGGTTAAAAGACAAAATGGCGGACGGATCAGGGTTCCCGTGCCCCCTACCCTGCGTTGATGCTAATCTTCAGGCCCCCGTTGTTCAAAAGGTGGATAGCGTTATCCAATCGGATGATTCACTATCCAGTTGATAACGCAATTAGTTTCCGTAATACTTATCCATTGGATAGCGATTTATCCGGTGGATAGCGCTATCCAGATAAAATTATGGTAGGGGAACAAAAACAATATTCTTGTGGGGACATGAACAGGAAAAATTTCGCGGAGCAAGCCCGGGGAGGAGAATTTCTGGGTGGGGATGTGGGTGGGACCCTGGAATTTCAGATAAATTTTTATGGTAGGTAAACAAAATCCAATATTCTTAAAATCTTGTGCTAGTTTTGAAATTAGTCCTATTGTTAGACCCAAACCGCCTATCCTAGAGTAAAGAACAGGCACAAAAATTGATGGCAGTAACCACCCCCGTAGTAAGCCCTTGTCTTGTAGCCTGCTAAAGTTCGGCACAAGAAAAAAACGGGCGCTTGTCGCTCGTTCCCTGAGTGCTTTCTGTCTTTACCGTAGAAGACCCCGGACTGATACGCATTTCAGTTCCTTCTACTCAATCGCCGCATGCCAAAACACTGCTGTTTCCTGTCTTTTAAAGTCCTCGCAGCCTCGACGACAATACAATGGGCAATTGCTTAAGGACGTTTGATTTTTTTACTTGTGTTATGCAAATATTCAGTACATCAGCTTTTAAGTATAGTAATGGCTTCCATGCCAACTACATAAATGCAGTTACTCTTGTGTGTTTGTTCTTTGGAAGGCCTTTAAAAGAATCTAAATCTTTGTGGCATTATTTTGTTCATTTTTTCATCCTTGCTTCGTGTCATTCCCAATGTTATTGTCGTCGTACTTGAAATTCATGTGACGAAATCACTGTTGCAAACACCTTACTTGTAACTTTAGTTTGTGGCTTTTACAGTTTTGGATCTTCTTCTTAGAGTGTTCAGTGGTTTTAAAGGCCTTATGGGTCACAGAGTACAGAGAGGCCAAAGTAAGTTAGTATGTTATCATGTCATCTTAAGTATGGCTCATAAAACCCCAATATTTAAGAACTCTAGATGATTACCACATTGCTTTTTTGGTAACTATTGAAATAATGGGTTTTTATGCAAACTATTTCAGAGCTTTTACTAAAAGTAAGTTAGTATGTCATCATGTCATCTTAAATATCGCTCATAAAACCCCAATATTTAAGAACTCTAGATGATTACCACATTGCTTTTTTGGTAACTATTGAAATAATGGGTTTTTATGCAAACTATTTCAGAGCTTTTACTATTTTAATGCCTTTGTCCCAAGACATCTTTTGTCCATAAAATACTATGTAGTGGACTCACGTATAATCTCTTGCTGCTTTTTGACAGTTTCTTGTTGTTACAGATGACCTCAGTGGTGTGATTCCTTAAGTAATGTCACACATAAGCCTGAACAGTACTTGCACTATAACATCATCAATCATGAACCAACATTAGTTTCAGTAACACAATGAAACATTCATACTTTTGTACTGACATCACTTGTGGAAGTGTCTCAAATTAAGAAGAATTCCCATAGCCCTATGCTGGTAATAATAAAGGAACAGTAAAAGATCGTTGATTTTAAGTCCATACAATTTTCTTACTGCCTCTTAAGGTTCTATATTTTTTTCTTTTCAAGATGGATGTCATTTTAGGGACTTAAAATAATTAGGGCTTATGGAAAAATTCTATAATATTTTGACGTCCATAACCTTTTTCCTTTCCTTTTCTATTCTGTGCTTTAATTTTAGTGGCATGCCCTGAAGTATTGAAAATACTAAATGTGTCAGGCGCCTCTAGACTCAAACAATTTAGCCTTTTAAACCCACTTATCTATTCTTTCTCTTTTCGAGAGTTGTTGCATGGTTACTAATGCATGTACTGAGAATAAAATGCCTTATTATGTAACAATGCAACTTTGATTCTCCACTGGCATGTTTACTGCTGGTCCCAGCAAAATAACTCTCTCTTGTGCCGACACGTAAGGAAAGCTATCCGGTATAGTGTCGTCATGCCTAAGTCGAAGTTTAAAGACTTGTGTTTTTGTTTTTTTGGCGCATCAAGGCTGCATTGTTTACCCGACTTCTCTCAACAGATCTTAAGATATTTGGTTCTACATGTAGTTAAATAACAGAAAAGGCCAATATTATTTTTTCGGAGTTTTAAAGGTATTTGTCATAAAAGCATGCAAACTAGAAAACGATTGAAGGAAGAAATTTGAGCAATTTTTTTTTATCCTTTATTTATTTTCTAAAGCAAATTTAATATTTATATATAATGCAATTTGTGCTTTGGGAAAAAGCTTTTTCATGCTGAATTTCAAGGCTTGCATGGTGCAACGACACAATTGAGTCGTTACTGTTCAGTCAAATGAATTGTAAAAAAGCTGCTCTGAAATCAATAAGAATAAAATAATCAATTTTATTTAACTGTCGTAAGATATCATTATCTGACAAAAACAGTGAATTTAATGTACAGTAAAAACCCACGAGTAAGAACCTAAGATTTAAGAACCTGTTAGGCTACAATTTGCAATTCAGACCCCCTCTATATAAGAACCTCTTTAGCCTAAAATTTGAAGAAAGGTTCTTATTTTCAAAAATCATTTAAAAATATTTACTAATAATTTGCAATTGCAAAAGGCAAGTTAGTACGTACATAAATGTTGTTCGATTGAGGTCATTGAGAAGATGTTTATAATATTGTGTTTTACAGCACAATCATGTATATAAAGTTGTTTTGACTGAAGAAATTAAAATTCATGTGAGAATAGATCTCTATTATGGTCATATTAAAATATAAGCAATCATTAGGTATGCAAATTCAAGGGTGCTGATCACTAAATTCTTCTTAGCAACGACATAATTAATTGCAAGAAATTAAGAACCTATTAAGAACCTAGATAGCCTAAATTTATGTTAACCACCATTTACGTAAGAACCTGTTTAGGCTAACCCTGGAAAATGTAGGTTCTTACTCATGGGTTTTTACTGTATAAATCTCTGTCTGGTAGAGTCTTGCAAGAATAACCCATTACCCATCGCTGGATCAATAACATGCAGTTCAACATTTGTTGCTCAACAAATGCCCATTACTATCGCTCAGTTTATACAGCTGAATCCATGAATGGCGAGATAAAACGATTCCTGTGTTCTGATTTGCTACTCGAGCGGGCAAGACTGAGCGCTTGCGATACCCGTCGTTGGTCTCGCAAGAAACCGTAAATCCTTTATTGACCAAGTTTGTTCCATGAAGATGGCTGTATATTGGCCTCGTTTGTTTTTACGTTCTTATGGACCGAAACTTAGCCACCTTGACCAATTCCAACAAATGTTGAACATTACATTGCATTTTCCAGCTATTTCGAGAAAGGTCGGAAAAATGTGCACGCAACAATCCCGAAGGGTGATATAAGATACGATCAGTACCCTGTTCCTGACACTGTAGCTGTCGAAAATACAGTCGACTCCCGATAACTCGAACCCTCACTAACTCGAACCTCGCGCTAACTCGAACCAAAATCGATTTCCCCTGGATTTCCGTCATACATTCACTGTAATTTTACCCTCGGTAACTCGAACCCTGGATAACAGGGACTCCCGCTAACTCGAACCAACTTTCGTTTCCCCTCAGGTCATTTTCTATATAATTTTACCCTCGATAACTCGATCCATGTTTTGAGCCCTTAAAAAGTCGGGAAAGCCGTCTACTGGCGTCCGAAACATTGAATTTTGGACTTCCTATTGATGTGTTGTGGGGGTATAGTTTACTAGTGGAGGCTGATATTGATTGTCACAGGCTAACGTGAAGCAGCTTTACTTCTCAAAACAATAAAACGCATGCTCTATTTAGGCTATGGTTTGTTACGTTACGTTCTGATTTATAATCTAGAAGTATCTTTTAATTTTCACTTGACATTTCTACAATTAAATGTGATTAAAATGTTCACTGTGCAGTAAAAACTGTTTTTTACCTTACTCTCGGCTATTTTCTTCGAGCTCCCGATAAATCGAACTTTTTTCGATTTCACTTGAAGGTTCAAGTTATCGGAAGTCGACTGTACTTTCCTTGCTTCTCCTTTGGTACTCCAAACATACGTACTATACATGGCCTCTTCGTTAAAGAACAGTGAACTCAGAACTACCTCAATACCTTTCAATATTGTTGTGTGCTCTTTTTCCGGAATTCGAGTTACCGGGGTAAATTTCAGATAAATTCGAGGATTCGAGATAATTCCGAGTTCGAGTTATGGAGGTTCTGTATTTTTAGATAGTCGACTCTTTCTCAAATGGACTCCGCTGGGACTTGTGGAACGAAGGGTACATCTTAGCGGTGTCCGCATAGAGTCAAGAAACAGGACCCACGAAAGACAGGATCATTTCTAGGTGTCCGTTTTAGAGGTATCCGCTAAGGCGTTTGACCACTTGACTTTCAAGCTGGGAGTTATGGTTTTGGCTAGATTTTTTTCAAAAGTCTTCTGCTAGGATCAATTTTTTTAGTAATACTTTGGTGTAACTATAAGTTTGTTTGCTGGAAAATCCCCCCACCCCCTCCCCCTCCCCGTCCTTCCCATCAAAAGTCCAACAGTCAGTCCTTGAGAATGTTGAAACTCGACTGGGATCACGTGTACTTTAGGCATCTGGTAAATGAAGCAATCCGATCTTCTAATCCTTTGCCCTCCTCTGTTTTTGCTTCTGGCCAATCCAGTGCGTCACAGAAAAAGGACAAGGGTCCAAACAGAAAAGAAGAAGAAGAGAAAAACATTGTTTTAAACATTCGCATATGCCAAATTTACTTTGAAAAAACATGAAAGTACACTTGAAAAAGATTCATTTGAATGGTTAGACCACAGCACAACCATAGACTCTGGCTGAAACGTCGCTACAACGATTGACCCTTGAGATAAAAATACAATTTACGGATCACTCCTTCTTGATCATTAATCACGTGAATCTAACCGTTCGTTTTGCAATTAAATCAAACAACAACAAAGTCAGCAAATAAACGGGAACTACAAATTTCGCACTCACTGCTTAACAAAAAGTACAAACAAAGAATACACTGGTACACTAAGTCTCCAGTAGTGAAAAGTGACAGTTAACTCAGAAACTCAAACAGATTAAAACTGATCCTCATATGCCGACTCGTTGATAAGGCCATCAACCCCAGTAAGTTTTGCGGATCAAATTGCCATTGTTTGAAAAACTATATCTATTTCCGCCACACCTTATTCCAATGCCCCAGACATTTTCGATTGAAGTCAAAAGTACATCATGGAATCCCTTAGAGAACTTCTGGCGCCTAAAACAGTCAACAAGTTTAGTTTTACAGCAAATGTTCTTTGGTTTGTGCTTGGAGTTGTTTTATCGAGTGTCTTTTTGGACATGGAAAACAACGATCCGCGGTTCCACTGTGATGCAAAAGATGACCAAGAACTCATCCAAGGGAAGTGTCACGAACAATATGAAAAGCGATACAACGAACTTAGTATTCCTGTATATGCTTTTGTGCTTTTTAATTTCTTTATTCCTATGATTGCTTGTGGAATATACTCCCAATACGTCAAATCAAGAATTAGTGAACTCGAACAACAACAGCAGCCTCTTCAACCCCGACGTATTGTTTTCAGCTTGTTGCTAGATTCCTACTTGGAATTCTTTGTATCTCTTTGCAAAAAACGATATTTTATCCCCAAACCTTTCCTTCTAACTTCACTTGTGATTTAGAGGAGAATGACCAGCCATCTGAGAATATCACACAAACTCAAACTTACGAATGCCACAATCAAAGAGCAACGTCCAAAAACTTCTGGACTTACGCCGTGATCGGGGTAAATGGAATTTTTGCGTTTCTTGTTTTAATGGAGATTTTCTATATCTTAACACGTGTAATGAAAAAGAGGAGGTTAGTGGAAGACTTCCCATTTTACGCTTTTCACCTTAGATCGCTCGCCATTGTTCAACCGGAACAGCAAAGGCATCAGCAACAATCACTGTTCCAGGCCATGAAAGACAATATCATAAAAGAAACTGAACGACTCGAGCTCAGGGATCTTCAGTTACCCTTTCTTCCTAGTCCAGGTGAAGGTAATACGCTTCCCAAAGAGTTAAAAATTGATCAAATTTACACCAATCTGATTATTCACGAAGGCCGGGTTAATTACAACTTCTCTGGTGACAGACGGGAACAATTAAAGGCATATCCCAAACCCAATAAGAATTCACCATCAATTCAAGCGCGGAATATTATTGATGCTCACTACAAAAATGTTCTCGTTGTCGGTCGTCCCGGGATTGGAAAAAGTTTATTTTGCATTAAGCTTCTTCGGGACTGGGCATCAGACACAGAAACAGAAAATTCCCAGTTGAAGTTTGAAGCCATTTTTCTTCTTAAATTTAGGAGAATGAACTCGATAGAGAAACCGCTCACCCTTCGTGAACTACTGGCTTTTTCAGAGTATTCACCGGATCTGAATGAGGATGCTGTCTGGAAATATGTTCTCGAAAACCCAACTAAAGTACTTTTGATTTTCGATGGAGTCGACGAATTTAAACTTAAGAAGAATATCGCTAAATGCAATAACTCTGATCAACCTAATGATGTTACCGCGAAGATGTCAGTCCCTGCATTGTTCAACAAGATAGCCTCGGGTAAACTTTTATGGGGCGCCACAGTTTTAACTACTACAAGACCAAATGCTGGGTTATTTGTTAAACATCTCAAATTTGACAGAACAGTTGAAATTCTTGGATTTACATCAGAACAAGTTGAAGACTATGTTAACAAGTTCACAGCAGATGAACAAGAGGGTACCGGAAGGACAATTTGGCAACACATCAGCAGCAACCTTAACATTTTTTCCATGTGCTATGTTCCTGTTAACTGTTTTATAATATGCACATGCTTGCTCCACGTCCTACAGACACTCAAGTATAATGTATCCACGATTCTTCCCACGAAACTCACTGACATTTACAGCATCGCCATTAAGATGTTCTATTTCCAGCACTCCCGCAGTTATAAGCAATATCAGGGTCAAGCTGACTTCATCCGTGAGAAATTTGAGAACCTGCCTGATGATGTGCAAAAGGAATTCAAGCGACTGGGAAAAATCGCCATCACAGGAATAAAAGAGGGTAGACTAATCTTTGAATCCAAGGAAGTTGAAGGATTGGAGGATTGCGGCCTGCTCCATCGTCTACCTGACTTAAATATCGCCTCAGCAGCTAGTCCATTTGAAAAATCTAAAGCTCAGTTCTGTTTTATGCACCTGACCATTCAAGAATTTCTCGCTGCCAAGTATGTCGCCGACACCAAGAGTGGAGAACAACTGCGAAAATTTGTTCACAAAAGGATCACGCAAGGTGCATGGCATGTAGTTCTGCAATTTGTAGCTGGACTGCTTAGAAAGCGAGAAGCATCACTTAAACACATTTTTGTTGACGCTCTTCCCTTATCAACAGAAACGTTTAATGAATGGCGGGAACGGAAAGCAGAGTTTGACGATGATGAAGTTTTTGATTTGAAGGTTCGCAGTAAACTCATCTTTTGGCCACTGAGTATGGATCGCAATCTTGTTGTGGCCTTAAGTATGTGCCTTTATGAGATTGATGTGGAGGATCCAATATTACAAACCAAGCTGCGCGAAATCGGTTTTAATGCAGCAGATTTTAGTAACTGCCAAATCGGACCTGTTGAATGTTTAGGATTAGTAAATTTGCTTAATAGTCACAGCCTAAGAAGCTTAGAATTGACCAACAACAATCTTGGGCCATTGGGTTGTAAACAGATTCAGCCGCTGCTTGCAATTAGTGACAAAAAATGTAACCATGCCAAACTTCGTAGATTGAACCTTCATGGTAATGAAATTGAAGATGAAGGTGTGCGGCATTTGGCTGAAGCACTCACTCATAGTAAACTAAACAGTTTACACCTTTCTGGTAATGATAGCATAAGCGGCAAAGGTGTAAAGCATTTGGCTAAAGCACTCACTCATGGTAACTGCAAACTAAACAGTTTACACCTTTCTGGTAATGATAGCATAAGCGGCAAAGGTGTAAAGCATTTGGCTAAAGCACTCACTCATAGTAACTGCAAACTAAACCGTTTACACCTTTCTGGTAATGATAGCATAAGCGACGAAGGTGTAAAGCATTTGGCTGAAGCACTCACTGATAGTAACTGCAAGCTAAACAGTTTACACCTTTCTGGTAATGATAGCATAAGCGACGAAGGTGTAAAGCATTTGGCTAAAGCACTCACTGATAGTAACTGCAAACTAAACAGTTTACACCTTTCTGGTAATGATAGCATAAGCAGCGAAGGTGTAAAGCATTTGGCTGAAGCACTCACTAAAAGGAACTGTAAACTAAACATTTTAAACCTTTCTTTAAATAAAGCAAGAAACGAAGGCGTAAAGCATTTGGCTGAAGCACTCACTCATAGTAACTGCAAACTAAACAGTTTAATCCTTAACTCTTTCGTTTTTAACAACGAAGATGTAAAGCATTTGACTCAAGCACTCACTCACAGTGACTGCAATCTAAACAGTTTAAACCTTTCTAACAGTTTCATACGCGACGAAGGTGTAAAGCATTTGGCTAAAGCACTCACTCGCAGTAACTGCAAACTAAACAGTTTAAACCTTTCTTCCAATTTCATAACCGACGAAGGTGTAAAGCATTTGGCTAAAGCACTCACTCGCAGTAACTGCAAACTAAACAGTTTAAACCTTTCTTCCAATTTCATACGCGACGAAGGTGTAAAGCATTTGGCTGAAGCACTCAATCACAGGAACAGCAAACTAAATAGTCTAACTGTATCGGCTTTTACCAATGGAGGTAGATGCTTAAGGTATTTGGATGTAGCAGCTGCTCTCAGTAACTGCAAACTATATATTATTAATATAACACATTTATACTCAGTCTAGCTCAGTCTGGCATTTAAACGGCAGTAGTTTCCGGTAACAAGCGAAGGATGCGGGCTGTGCTGGAAGAGTGAATGAAATAACCCTCAACAACCATAAGCACTTAGCTAAAGTACGTATTCAGTAACTGCCAACTCAACATTAAAACTCTACAAAAGAAAAGTACCTAAGCAAGAAAAGGTAAACGCTCTTCCTAAGTTTTTAACTTGGCTATTCCGGGATGCCTCATTAATAATTTTGTAATTCCAACTTGCGACATTTATTTCAATATGTAGCTTCTATCACTGTGATCATAGTGCTAACTAAACAGGTTACGTCGGTCTATAATCTAAAGACTTGGCTTAAGCAGTCACAGCCAGCTCACAGCTGAGCTCAAGACTGAATTGAAGTTGTAGAGCACGTTGCTTCAAGTTCTTGTTAACTGCAGATAACTAAGTTTCTCGCCAATTTGAGAGAAACGGTTTCATGGACTTTTCTTAGGCTTGTGATTAATTATAGATTAGACCTACACAGTGATCGCAGTTGCTTGTCGATTGCTAGGTTTTACTAGAAAGAAAATGCGATGTTTATATAGTACAACTTTCTAGGGACAGAATGTAGAAGTTGTAGTTGTGACCGTTGAAATAAAATCTTTGAGATCTTTCCGTTAATAACGGGCACTCTTGGAAGCAAAATGCCACTATCCGATCGCAAAGAATCGAGATTTCGTTGTTCCTGCTAGCAGGGATTTTATTTTAGTGTGATAAGACAACTGTTCTGTCACGTAATTGATAAGTCCCCTGGGGCTTATCTATTTCAAACACGTTTGAGTGGGGGGAACTTAATTAATTTACCGAAATGGGGCACCATACTGCTTTTTCAAACAACCAGAAGATGGTATCAATTCTCCGTAAAGAACTAAGGCGTAAGGTGGAGATGCTCAAACACATGACGTAAGAGATCTTGCAACCATAGCCTCCGCAGACGTTCTATTAGGGGTTTGTCACGCGTTCCTGCCCCACTAACGTCGGTTCACGGTATTCGAATTTCATTGTTTGCAGAGAGGTATAATACTGGGAAACTTGAGAAAGACCTTCATTTTTAATCAATCTTTGTTAGGGTAGACGCCTTACATGTCAGAATACAGACTCGGAGAGTAAATTTTTATTGGGCTGCCCGCCCAATAAAAATAATGGAGGCGCCTCGTCTCAGTCGTGTGTGCAGCAAAATAAAAGACAAAATGGCGGACAGATCAGGTTTGCCGTTCCCCCTCCCCTGCGCTGATGTTAATCATCTGGCCCCAGTTATTCAAAAGGTGGGTAGCGCTATTAACTGGATAAATCAGTATCTAGGTGATAACGCAATTAGTTTTCGTAATACTTATCCATTGGATAGCGATTTATCTGGTGGATAGCGCTATCCAACTTTGAACAAACAGGGACATGATTTTTTGAGGGGAAGGGGTGGGTCATTTCAGATAAAAATTATGGTAGGGGAACAAAAACAATATTCTCGTGTGCAGTTACGAGTCCTATGTTATCACCTAAAAGACAGGAAAAATTGATCACTTAGCAAGCCTCTTGTCTAAAGCTCGTTTCACTTGTCGCTCGTTCACTGAGTGCTTTCTGTCTTTACCGTAAAAAAATCCCGGATTGAAACGCATGTCAGTTCCTTCTACTCAATCGCCGTATGCAAGGCAAAACCTCTGGTATCCAGGGTACATCCCCCGGGCATTTGTCTCAAAAGGTTCCTCTATCTTCTCCCTATCATCTTCTTCAGAGATCTTAAAGGGACTGGTTCACGATAATGCGCATGTGTGAGTTCTGACAGTAGCTGATTGTTTTTCAACCAATCGGAAGCGAGTTAGATGCACGCAAGTAAATTTACAAAATTCAAATTAATTGTTCGCGACGCGAGAGTATTTCCGGGCATTTGGTTTGATTTTATTTATCCCCATATTTCAATTTTATTCTTTGGAACAGATATATGTTGACGATAAGAATAAGATTTACAGCCCTGTCCTGCTTTGAAACAAACATTTACCAACGTGTATTTTTACGAGGTCGTACCCACGCTAACAAAACAGTCACCGTGAACCAGTCCCTTTAAGAGGCCGTGGTTACGCTTTCGCTGGCTAATGTAGGGGCGGCAATATTCGAACAGACTGTGAAGGCATTTCAAATCTCTAGATTCTTTAATCCCGACCAGAAATTTTAAAATGGGGGAAAATTTTAGCCTCGTGACAGACTCTCTTTTGGCTCGTCACGCAATCGGGAAGGAACGCGTGACGAAGCCCTAAGAGCGTCTGCATGTAGGCCAGGATGTAGTCATGGCGCAGTATGACAGGTTGTCACGCAAGCCGGCAGACCAATGTACCCTCAAACTCGGTGTTGCTCAGGAAACCTAAAGGGGTGTGATGTTACACCAAGCATTCCCTCGGTACTGTCACGCAGGCAAGCATATAGTCTCCTTCTACAATGTAGCTTCGCAGCCGTCATTAGGGTCATCACGCAACACTCCTTCGCAGTTCCCACCAAGGAGCGTGACGGTGTGTGATGGCCCTAACGCTTTTGCTAAATACTCAATAGGCTTGGCATCATAGATTTACAGATTGTGATACTTAAGGCTTCCTACAGTTATCGCAAAGCACAGTCGTGTCTAAGACAAACATTCCAGGAGTTCCCAAGGTTTATTGACTGGTGTTTTTATATCAGTAAGATGCTTGTGATTGCTGTTGCTGGTAAGATCTGTCATACTGCCGTCCATATCTCTCTTGCCAATTGTACCGATCCCCTCTGTCCTGTTTTTCAGGCCTGTCTTGTCTGTCAAAATGCTGCTGATTTTGACGACGATACCTGCCTTGACCTAAAGAGGAGATTTAACATTTCTTTTTAGCAAATGAAACCTCAGTGGAGCAAAGCTTACAATGAAACGAGAACTATCTAACAATAATCAGACGAATAGCTTGTGTTCTCTGAGTAACAAGGCGCCTCGTTGACTATTTCACTCGTAGAAAACGAGAGCGAGCAGCCTAACTGTTTTAGTAGAAACTAATTAGCAAACGACCTTCAACTCTACACAAAGTCTTGATGAAAGCATGTAAAAAAGCCTTTGTTTACACAAATTGAACTCCCGAAAGCGTTGTTGCTTGTCACAAAGAACTTTGCACTTTGTACCATTAAAAAATTTCATTCCGTCTTTTGTGGTAGCTTTAGTTACTTTTAGAGATAGCATTATTGATTAGTTTACCCGCTTCATCATCAGAGACATCGCAAAAATAAATTGTTGAAGAAATTTGTCATTGTTTGTTTTTACTTAAAAGACTGGATCACTCCTCGCTACTGAAATGAATAATGGCGTACATTAGCCAATCAGGCCACAGAATTCGAGATAGTGTGCAAGTTGGTTTCTAGAGATGTGTTTTAAAGCCAGCATTTTCCGTACAAAGACAAGCCTAATTAGATCCGTACCTTGCCTATCCTTGAACTGAACAAATCCTCCATGCCTTGTGTCGTAAATACGTTCATTGTTTTCTACCAGTGTGCTGACCTATATGAAAAGAAACCAAGTATCAAATCAGCCTGAACCCTTCTTTAATCAGCGTAAGGCTGAGTGCAAACGGACGCAACAACTGTTGGGAGTTGTTGCGTGCGTGTTGGCAGTGGTGTGCAAACGGATGCAACAACTCCCAACAATGTTGGGACCAGCAGTGCATCGTGGGAAGGATACAACCCATAAGTCTTTGTAAACCATGCGTAATGAGCGTGCGTGGCCCCAACAATGTTGGAAGAGTTGTGCAAACGGACCCAACATTGTTGCGCCACGCTTCGGCGATCACGGTACAAAAAAAATGTTGGGAGTTGTTGGCTGAATAGTTTGACCGGTTTCAAACTTTGCGCAACAACATTCGACAACATGCAACAGGGTGTGCAAACGGACGCAACACGTAACATCCAACAATGTTGCGTCGTTTGGACGGGGCTTAAAACCTAAAGTTGGTGTTGTGGGATCTGTTGCTGGTTGGCTTTTGTGTTGTGGTGTGGGTACTGTTCACTGTCTTTTCAATCTTTTGTATGACGTCATTTGGTGATTGCACCCGTCCGCAACACCAAGTAACTACCTAAAATCCCTAACTAGCGTTGTTGAGTAATAAACACAAATGATACAATTCACTATTTTCCCATACACCATAATGCACCTTGTTCGTCCCCCAAAATTTTGCATAACCATCGTCTTCGATTTCTCTTGGGACGGCTGTAATACCCAGGAGAAATTGGTAACAATGGTTAAACAAAATTGTGGGGGTAAAA